CTCTCTCTCTCTCTCTCTCTCTCTCTCTCTCTCTCTCTCTCTCTCTCTCTCTCTCTCTCTCTCTCGATCTATCTATCTATCTATCTATCTATCTATCTATCTATCTATCTATCTATCTATCTATCTCTCTCTCTCGTCGTAGCGATGTCTTCAACGCAGAAACGTGGTAAGCCAATCTTGTATCTCTCAACCTTTCTCTCTCCCTCTCCCTCTCTCTCTCTCTGTCTTCTTCTTCGTCGTGGTCTTCTCTGTAGGTGTGCGCGGCAGCTTCTTCAACCTCGATGTCCGCTATGGCGGACTTCTTCTTCATCGGCCACTTTGCTATGGCGCATCACTCCCTACGACACACAACGCAGCACGTGGAACAATGGGTACCAGCTCCGATACCAATGCAATCAGACTTGCTTTCATTCACACTTTATATGCATGCAAACAGTAGCGCAGCAAACTGGTGACATGCTTAGAGATATGGCAACCCAGATACGAGTTCACTACCGATGGCAATGGCGACATAGCGCCCATACAACTCTCTGTTCGCATACAGTGGATTACCCTGGATATCCCACACGCGTCTCTCTGAACTCTCACACACACACACACACACTGAACTCTAACTACAGCTATGGCGGCTATGGCCCCCGCTACCCTATCTCTATGGCTAAGCTTCGTCTCTCTGCCCACTTCGTCTTCGGGCTCACTGCAGACCTCCTTGCACAAGTCGTTGTGGCAGCGCTTCCGCATGGCTCACGCAGGAATGAATGAATGGCTGGGCGCTGCCTCTTGATTTACACTTCTGCAGTGCGTTGGTCTGGCCCTTTCCCATGCCTGAAGTGCACACAGTCCCATGCGGTACTTGCTGGACTGGACTAGGACTGACTGGGAAATGGGACTGTTGACTCAACACGGGTAGACGCCACCACTTGCCCACTTGCCTCGCCACTTGCCCACTTGCTTCGGTCTAAACGTGGGCAACTTCGAAAGGCCACTTCTGGGACCTTCCGGAAGGCCGTGGACTTGGCCTTTCGTTACTATAGCAACTACGACCTTGACCCTTCTGGACTGTAGCAGCTACGACCTTCACCTTTCAGGAAAGCTATAGCTACGACTTCTAGACTTGACTAAGACTCCTACTCGACAGGTCTACAGATCGAACCCCTGCGACCTCTGGACCCTACGACAACCTACCACTATTACAAATACACAAGTCACGGGTTCAACTCCAAGGGCCGACACAGATATTGTACACAGGTAAGGTGGGGATTAGGGATCGAGCCCTGGGGTCTTCATCAACTACTGCGAATTGGTGAATATAGTTTCATATATAAAGAAAAAGTAGCAATATAGTAGCGAAAAAAACGGGGATAGTGTGTGAAAAATGCCGCTGCTTCTGGGTTCGAGATAGGGGATGTTGTGTATGATAGTGTAGACTACATCGATCGAAGGCACGATGAGGATTACGATAGATATAAATCACAAGAGTTCCTAGCGATCGCATGGAATTCAAGATTTCAAGGAGCGGTCAGATCAATGCTCCTAGCTTATGACTATCCCTTGTCTCCGACGATCTTATTTCAAGACAGGTGCTCCGGGGAAGGGGGAGAAGGGAAAGACAATCATTTACGATGAAGATGCAAGAAGAAGTGACTAATGAAAGATTCAAATACTTGCGAACAAAAAACCTCCCTAATGACCGCTTAGCTGACGTGATCTCGGGTTCACCCAAAAGTGCAGAATGCAGAAACATTAGAAATATAACACCGGCTGCATTCCCATAGGCGATTCTACGTAATATGGGAATAGGCCTCGGCAGCCAAAGGAGGGACGGTAGTGGCTATCCCTGAAGCGTTTTTCTGCTGCTAGCCACTAATGCACGACTTCATCAGAGGGTTTACTCCTGTTTAGTTACGAATGTTTTGACAGTTGCGGCGAGGAGGGTGGCGGCAGCGTTTGCAGATGATACAAGAAGGCCAAAAGTGCGAGAAACGCAAGCAGAGCAAGGAAAGCGAAGAGCACAAAGGCCAAGATCTCTACCACTAGAACAACTTTCTCCTCCATGTCCTTTTTCTGAAGTGCCATAGAAAGAAGCGTAAGCGGTTTAGAAAAGAAAGCATGTACTAGCCCGCAATGGAAAATGAAGAACGCACGCATGATCAGGAAGCAATCAACGTGTCATTCCTAACTCGCGATAATTATGAGGTGTGCGCACTTCGAGCGACGAAGGTCAACGCGACAGCATATGGCAGAATGTGGAAGCAGAGATCAAAAACCTGTGTACAAAGTCATACCGCATCTTCAGGGTTGCCGATCAGCTGGTCCACCATAGTCGGGTCCACCTCGTAGTCCATGGTCGTCGTCGCCTAGGCACCCGAGTCTCGCAGCCTCTGAAGATGTCACCGTAAACACCGAGCGATGCAACTGGAAAATGTGCCACACATGCAAGGCCGTATGCGCGACTTTGGCCTAGTGAACGCTTGATGGGAGACAATGGGTTGTGCTTCAATCTAAAATAGTTTCATTGATTCGTCATTATCCCATGTTCCTTTTGGCCCGACGTTAGACCCTCTGGCGTGTGACTATAGTCTTGACAAAAAACGACAACGTAGGGAACAAACAAAGGAAAAAAAAAGAAAAGAAAAGAAAGAAAGAAAGAAAAAAGGGAAAAAAAAAAAAACAAGAAGGAAAAAGAAGGAAACAGAAAAAAAAGTGAAAAGGGAAGTCTGCTGAAAGACATTTCTACGACTAGTTTGAGCCGCATGATGGCTTGTGTTGGCTTTCTTTTGAAGTTCCTGTCGTAGTGTATGGAGGGCGAAAAAAGGCCGATTAAGGAAAAATAGCAAAAACAAAAACAAAAAGAAGAGAAAAAAATTCAAAAAAATAGAAAACAAAACAGAAGAAAGAAAATGATGAGAAAAATGAGCGAAAACACAAGTGACAAGTCGTTCTCATATCCTAGTCTTGATACGCTCTTGTGTAGCCTGCCAATAATATGTAGCCTATCTCGACTATACCAAAGTTATGAGCAGCCTCATCATCTGAGTATGTCCTCAATCGCATCATCCGGGACATAGAGGCTGGTGTCCACCCGATGGAGCATGTGAATCGTGGGCGTGTTGGAGGTCAGGTTGTTGCCTCGCAAATAACCCCCTCGCACACACCTCCCCAGTATGGATCGTCCGACGGTGCAGCTATGGGCACTCCGGCCCCATTCACGAGGGATTCCATGTTGCATTACACATCTCCCCGGTGTGGATCTTCCGAAGGTGTAGCTGCGGACACCCCGTCCCCACTCACCGGGGATGGCTGTTCTCGCACACCACCTACTGGAGAACAAGGTCCGGGAACGTCTACGGGAGGGCCATCTGAGGGCCACCCTCGACGGCCGTGTCCGGGGAGAAGAATATGGATCGGTGGGGGGAGACCGAAACTGGGTGGTTGTGCCGGTACAGAAATGAGGTGAAGGCGTTGATGGCGGAAGAGACGGAAGCGTATGGGCGCGCGAGGCTGAAAGCTGGTTTTTGGAAGTACGTGGAAGAGCTCATGCGTGCGAAGGGTTACAACCGTGCACACGACCAGTGCAAGAACAAGTTCAACCAGATCCTTGATTACTATAGAAGATTGAAGGCGCACGAGAGCTGGTCCGGTTAGCCGAGCTACTGGGACATGAATCGGACAAGGCGGAAGAAGTATAATGTCGACTTTGTGCTTCGTCGAAGTTGGTACGACGTCATAGACCCGGTGGAGAAGAACAAGGACTCTATTAACCTCTCGACTTTGAT